ACTCTATGATCTCAGAGGTCTTTTCCAACCTCATTGATTCTGTGATTCTGGCTGCTAGGGTGGCTTCCTGCACCTCCAGATCCCCCTGCCCCAAGGGCAGGTGCCCACATAGGCAGAGCAGGAAGGATGCTGATGTTTCTAGGAATGCTGCTGCCCAGGCTCTGGATGCCAAGGACAGAGGGATCAGTGGGGCATGGTGGGAGAGGGGCTGCTGATGGAATTTTGGATGCTGATCACCACAGCACGTGGGAGAACTGGCTGGTGGGAGCTTCAGAGCAGCAACACAACAACAAGGAGAAGGGAAGCAGCACACAAAGTGTCCTGTCAGAGACCCACTTTCTTTGGCACCAACTCGACTTTCTTGCAAAACAGCAGCTGTGCTTTCACTGCAGGGTCACTGATAACATCACCCAGAAACACAGGCTGCTCAGAGCCTTTGCACCACACACAACTCCGGGCACAGGGGTTTGGCAGCAAATGTGGGCCCCATGGACACAGCCCTGTGAATGCTGAGAGCGAGGACCAGGCTGGGATCTGGCCTGGGCAGGAAGGTTTGGTGGAGAGAAGCCTCTGGGTGCTCAGGGGAGATAACATCTCTCAGAGGGGGCTGCTCCCTCCACTGCCTCCTAAGGGCAGGATGATAACAGGATAACAACAGTCTGACAGACACACTCAAGGGGCATTAACTCTTTTGGTGCTGAGAGTGGCTTTAAAGGCATCAGCAGCTTCCCCACCAGGCAAGGCCAGCACCACCTTCAGCCTCGCAGATGTGGGATCAAGGTCTGGCTGACTCCACCTTTCCCATCCTTCTTTCCTGCCTTTCTCCCTGCACTCGAGGGAGGGGCCCTGCAGAGCCTGCTCAGTGAGGTGCAGCAGCAGCTCAGCCCAGCTGAGCTCTGGGGCTGTGGCAGCTCAGACATGAGGGCTGTGGAAAGCCCCGGCAGCGCTCGGGTCCTGCACACACAGAGCAAACAAACCCCACAGCTCAGCTCCAACCCACACAGCTGCTCCACAGAACCTAAACCAGCTCAGAGCTCCGTGGCCATCACAAAGCTGAGCCTCCCCCCGGCCAGCAGGAGAGAGGCAGCACGAGCAGCAGCAAATGCAGGGCTGGAAGGTCAGAGCCCAGGGGGTCAGTCCCACCCCACTGCTTCAGGCACAGGCTGCTCACCCTGACACACACCAGCTGGGTTTGGCCATGTGGCAGCAGGTCCCACACAGCTGCTGTGGCCATGGGAGTCACCAGGAGTAGCACAGTGCAGGATCCAGCCACTGCACAGCCCCAGAGCTGAGCCTGGCTTAGCCCAGCTGGGCTCAGGGACAGAGGGGTCTCTGCCACGTCCCAGCATGAGCTGAGCACCAGCATCCACCCACCCCAACACCACCCACCCACCCCAACGCTGCTCTGCTGCTCAGCGAGGCAGCTTAGACTGAGCTCAGCTCAGCTGAGCCAAGGTGAGGTTTAGCAGCCAACACACCCCTGACCCCTGGCTTGCCTGAATGTACCAGGTGCACTCTGTCTGCTGGCAACCCCCCCAAATCTGCCTTGATGGAGAACCACAGACTCTCCTGAGCTAGGAGGCACCCACAAGGATCATCCAGTCCAACTCCTGGCCCTGCAGACACCCCAACAATCCCATCCTGTCCCTCAGAGTGTTGTCCAAACACTCCTGGAGCTCTGGCAGCCTTGGGGCTGTGCCCACTGCCCTGGGGAGCCTGGGCAGTGCCCAACCACCCTCTGGGGGAAGAACCTTTCCCTGAGATCCAACCTGAGCCTGCCCTGACACAGCTCCAGCTGCTCCTGTGAGTGAGACTCAAGCTGGCCAAGCTTTGGCTCCAGACCCAGGTGTCCAGGGCTGGCCCTCCCTGCAGCCATGGAAACGGAACTTCACCAACTCCAGAGCAATCACATTTCTCCTTCAAAGGAAAGATAAGAAAATTGCATCAACCTCTATCTGAGCAACCATGGCAACTTGTCAAACTAGGTCAAGATGTGGGGGCAGATAAGGCAGCTTTGAGAAGCTCTCAGAGCTGGTGAAGAACACATCAAACCCCAAGAACACACCAAACCCCAAGAACACACCAAACCCCAAGAACACACCAAACACTGATGGAGCTTCCGCCAAAATGCACCTTCTCAGCCCAGGCTGCGCCTCCCGGGGCAGATACCATCAGAGATGTGCTGTGACAGGGCACTGGGCCACCTCCCTGGGCCACCACCACGAAAACAGGGCCCTGGCAACAAAACCTGACAAATATTGTCGAGTTCTCAACCCCCAGAAAGCCCTGGAGATGTGATGGCCCAGCCCCACAGGGTGCCTTTGGGTGCTGGGTGTGGGCTCAAGGAATCCACTGAGGGGGAAATGGAACATGAGGGTCTTGTTTGGGGGCCCTGGGCTGTCAATCCCCTGCTCTGCTCGTTTGGAGGCTCCACCTCCTCCCCAGAGCCACAGCCAGAGCCCAGACACCGAGTTCCTCCGCTGGAGCTGCGAGACAGCACTTCCTCCCCCAGTAAAGTAAAAGGAGTGCAGAGCAAAGCAAAGAAAGCACCAAAAGCTCTGCCTGAGTCCCCCACTCCTTGCTTAGCCGGCCCAAGACAGCCTCCAGCAGTTCTGGGCAGCCTGAGTGGCATTTCTTGGCAGAAATGCATCAGCAGAGTTTGAGAGTGCCCGGTTCTCCTCCAGTTTGTGACACAACATGTCCTCACTCGCTCTTGCTGCTCTCACAGCTACCCAGCTCTGCTCTGCACCCACCCTTGGCACGGAAAGCTGAAGGTGCTGACGGGCCAGAGGGCTTGGAAAGGGTCAGAGGACACCTCTGGAGTCACCTGCCTGCAGAGATCACCTGCCCAGAGCCCATTCCCAATGGCAAAGGGGATGTGGTTGTACAAGGACTGATTATTGCTCAGCAGCCTTTGGAGAGAGCAAGCAGAGCCCCAGCCCAAGGATTTCTGAGTGATCCTGGATTTTCCTCTCCACATTTAAAGTCTCTCAAGTGAATCAGTGCAAATATAAATACAAAATCAGGCGTTCCCACTTATTGATCCCACAGAAGTGCCTGGGCCAAGGGATGTTCTTCTCAGCTCAAAGGGGGGCTTCAAATGAGGTGAGGGAAAATGTTACACTGCACAGAGGGTTTGGAATTGTGCTCTGGCATTGCAGGAACCCAAGTCCCCCCTTCCTGGTGGCACCAGGCCAAGGACAGCCTTTGGGGTGCTGCTATTCCTTGGAAAAGCACAGGGTCCAGCTCTGACTTCAGCTCCTGCCTCTCTGCGGGGGTGGTTCTTTTCCACTCTTTTCCATGAGCTACAGCAAATGTGGAGGGAAACATCCAGCTTGGAAAACAAGAGCTCCTAGTTCTGCCAGCACCTCTGTGCCTCAGTTTCCCCAGATGTTAAAATTCATCCAGTGCTCCTTCCCAGGCACTGGATACCCAAAGCACTTCCAAAGGCATTGCTGGGAGAAAATGGGAATAAAAACTGCAAGTCGTGGTCCCTGGTCTCTTTTTTCAGGAACAGCAATTTCCATGGCACAGCAGAGGATAAGAACCTGGGCATGGTCCCTCCTACCCCTCCTGCCTCTTCCCACCACACCCCCCGAGCCAAAATCCTTTCAGGAACAGCAGAGCACACTCATATTTTGTACAGCCTTTGTATATACTTTGTATAGACTTGGTCTCATTGAGCAGGCAGGGCTGAGCTCTCTTTCTAACTAAAGCTATAGCAACAAACCACTTCCTTTTCTGCACTCCTAAAATTATCTCCCCACCTCTCCTTCCTCCTACCCCTCTCCCCACCCTCACAAAAAGCTCGAGATCAGCCCCAAGATGAGCCGAGCGTGGGAGATTTCAGGGACAGTCACACCTCAGGATCTGCTCTGAACCTGCTGATCCTTATCTGCACAAACTCTTTCCACCGGCTGCTCCCAGCTGGGGCAGGAGAGATCAGCGTGTGCAGAGCAAGGGGAGCTGGCAGGAGCTGCCCTGAGTTCCACTCGGAGCACAGGGAAAAGCCATGGAAAGGATGAGCTCAGTTTTAGCTGGAAGCCCCATCCCATCTCCGTGGAGATGCCAGGTTGCTGCAGGGCTGTCACACCACAGGAGTTTCCATGGCCTATCACCTCCTCATCTCTCCCAGATGAGAATGGAAAATGTTTGGGACTGCTCTGGCACCATCCCAGCCCTGCCTCACACCAAGGTACGGAGCAAAAGCCAGGGATTCCCTGTGCCAGAAGGGGAGAGGATCATTCCCATCCCACCCAGCAGCGCTGGGGATGCAGCTGCTCCTGCCTGAGGGGGGAACCAGGGGTAGCCAACACGGTGTCAGAGGGGGAATGTGGGCTCTCTGCCACCCCGTGCTCCCAGGGATCCAAGCAGACACCAGCTCCTTCCAGCCCCAGCCAGGTGGGAATGGAACAGCAGGCCTTCCCTCAGCCAGGTCCCACATCCTGCAGGAGCTGTGGGATGCCCACCCTCAGAGGAGCTGCAGCCCTGGGGGGCTCTGTGCTCTCAGAGGTGTCTGAGGCATGGGGCTGAGCCCAGAGACCCCCAAACCCTCCCTCACAGCCCAATAAACACAGACCTTGGGCACCCCAGAGAGCCCCAAACCCCTCCCTCACACCCCACTGCAACACAGACCTTGGGCACCCCAAAGACCCCCCAGCACCTCTCACTTACAGCCCAATAAACAGCAACAAAAGCCTTGGGCACTCCAGAAACCCCCAAACCCCTCGCTCACACCCCACTGCAACACAGACCTTGGGCACACCAGAGACCCCCCAAAACCCCTCACTCACATCCCACTGAACCAACAGACCTTGGGCACCCCACAGACCCCCCAAAACCCCTCACTCACAGCCAATAAACAGCAACACAGACCTTGGGCACCCCAGGGAGTCCCAAAGCCCTCCCTCCCAGCCACTGCACCCACAGCCCTTGGGGGCTCTGCCGGGTGCTGGGGATGATCCTCCCTGGAGGTTTCCCAGGGAATGGGGAATCCCTACCTGTGTATCCAGCCAGGGCAGCAGCAGGAATGACGGGCTTGTCCTTGTTCATGTCGGCCCGATCCCGAACATAGTCCTTGAAGGTGCCCTTGGGCTTGTGGCTGGGCAGGGTGGCGGGATAGTCCTCGGAGTCGAAGCTGTCGTAGGACGGGACGCGCTGCAGGCTCTGGAAGGAGGACTGGCTGCTCCAGGACTGCGTCAGCCGGTCACAGCTGTCGTAGCTCTCGATGCTCTCGAAGGAGTCCTGGCCTCCCAGTTTGCCTGGGGAGCAGCAACAGCAGGTGAGGGGTGATGGGCAGCACACGAGCTTCACCTGCCTGCTGGGCGGGCACCTGGGGCTGCCCCACCACCCCTCAGCTCCCAGGGAAGGGCAGCCTGGACCTGAACCCATCATTCAGACCCCTGGAAAACTTCAGAGAGAGACAGAGGCAAAACCTCCAGGGCTGACTGGAAATGATCCTCCTCTTTCAAAAAGGCAACATCAGAGAAATAATTCACTTTACATATTCCAGACTGAGTTCAGGTGCCTAAACATAGGCACTCCAGGGCCTCTTTATTCAGAGGGTGGGGAGGCCCTGGCACAGGTTGCCCAGAGAAGCTGTGGCTGCCCCTGGATCCCTGGAAGTGTCCAAGGCCAGGTTGGATGAACCTTGGAGTAACCTGGGCTAGTGGAAGGTGTCCCTGCCCATGGCAGGGGGTGGAACTGGCTGAGCTTTAAGGCCCCTTCCAACCCAAACCATTCTGTTACTTTATGGTTTCTATGATTCTCTTCCTGCTGAAGGACATGGGGGTCCCCAATAAATCCCCTGTTCCCTCTGCCAGCCCCATACAAACACTGCTCAGGCCCATCCACGGGCACTGCACCAGCTCCTTTACTTTTGATGTTTCCTCCAGAACTCCACAGCAGCCCTTTCTTGCCATATGTTACAAGCAGCTTCCACCCCCAAATCCCCAGGGAGCATCAGATTTGATGGAGGAGGAGAGCAAAGGGCTGAGAGCTCAAGCAGCTCTTTTCCCAGTTCTGGTAAGGTGAGCACAGCTGGATTGTATCAAAGCTGCTCTCTGGGGTATTTTTAGTAAAAACCAGAACACGAGAGGCCAGATCCTCAGCAGTGCTGATTTACACCCACTGAAGACAGCAATACACCCTCTGTACTTAAAACAGAGCTAAAAAAGGAGCCAAAGAACAAGCTGAGGCTGCTCCTCTGATCTCCCTTACGCTGCTGATTGCTCAACATCTTTCCTGACAAACTACGAGCGTAACAGGATCATTCAAGTTCACTAATTTCCCAAACCAAGCTAAAAACAGCTGCTGGGATTGTGCAAGAGCTCCTGGAGAAATTTCCATTGGCAGAGCTACCCACAGCCTGGGCCTGGACAGTGGATCCCAGGGGAAGGGGAACGTGGAAGGGTGCTGGCACACTCCCGAAATAGTTGTTGTGTTGTAGTTTGAAGAGCACTTGCTGTGAAAAGACTCAACTAATGAAGGCTCTGCCCTGATTGCTGGCCTGGAATCCTCAGATGTTTGGATCCATTGGTATATCCATGTTTCAAACTCACTTTTGGTTTTATGCCTTTTATTTTTTTTTGAGAATTCCACAGGATACACTTCAATGCTTTCCTGAATCCTGCTAAAGGAGAACAACACTGCAGTGTGTGCACATTAATTGGCATAACCAACTCCCTGAGCAGTCCTGCAGCACGACCTCACTTAGAAAAGGACTTAAAAACCTGACAGGGATGTGGTTTGTATCAATCCATTGAAAATTCACCTCAATTTGGCCTAACCGAAAAAACCAAGCCTTGCACTAGCCCAGGAAAAGCTTAGAAGAATTTGACAGCTCCACTTTCTAGGCAGGAGCCCTCTCTGAGATAAGGCAGAGTGAAACAATTCCCATGGGACCACAGAATTCACTCCTAAAGCCCCCACAAAAGACAATTGACTGGCAAACCCTCTCCCTGAGTGATGCTCAAGGGCCTGACTGTGAGAGACTCAACTTCTAAGATAATGCAAGGTAAACACAGACATAAATCTAAATTAACTGGGCTCTGCTTTCTATTAAAGCTTCTTTCCACCCTTCTGGGAGGATTTCTGCCACCAAAGGCCCTTTCCAGGGCTGAAATGTGTGTTAGTGTGAGCACAGCCTGTTGGAATCATTCTATCAAAGTCTTTGCTAACAACAGCATTAAGGGCTTTTTCCTCCCTCCCCTGAAACCATTTTTAGGTTTGCCACTGAGCACAGGCCCAAGGTACAGTTGCAAAAGCCTTCCTGGATCATTACATTTCGAGGAGAATTATGAAATCACCTGTGTCAGAGAAAAGGTCGAGAAAAGGGAAAGGCACTGACGAAATTCAGGCAGAAAAACAACCACAGAAAGAGGAGTTCACCCAAAATTATAACCCTGTGCCCTCCTGGCTCATCCAGGTCACCTCTGCCAGAAGGAGAGGTAATAATACAGATAATGACTTCCCTGGCAGACTGGAAGAAGAATGGGAAGCTGCAGCTGAGCTGCTCTGAGCTGGGATGTGCAGAGCAGAGCTGCAAAGGGGAGGCAGCACCTCCCCAGCTCCCAGAGCTGAGAAAGGGTTTTAAATGTTCCACATCCAGCCTGGCTCACAGCAACACATCCCCACAAGGAATTTGAGGCTTGGGGACACCTGGATTCTATTCAGGGGGTGGTGGCAGGTCAGATCCCTTCCCTGTGCCTCAGGTTCCCTACCTGGAATCAGGAGACAATGAAGCCCCTTTGTCGGTGACTTTGAGCTCTGTGGGTTCAGTTTTTGCTCTGATGGAGGTTGGGAGCACCTGCCCCTCACCCTGCACCAGGTGAGGTGGCTACAAAGCACTGGGGCAGCTGGGCCCCATGTGTTCTGAATTTAATAATATTAACTGGAAAGGTATTTGGGCTCAGATCCTCCGAAGTGCTCAGGTGTTTAAATCCCATCACCTCAACCAGGAATCATGTACCTCTAACTCTTGGGAGATGTCAGGCTGTAGCAGGAGGATTCAGGGGGTCTTTCAGCTCTGCTGCTGCCTCAGCCCCTGACATCTGCACCTCCTGACAAAGCCCAGGGCTTGGATTCAGCAGAATATCCATGGAGATAATGGACAAAGATTTTGGATCATCAAGTGTAAAACTCTTCAGAGCCCTTGACAGTAATTCCTGATGAGAACTTGTGAAGAATTTGTAGGGGTTTGCCTGATCTTCTAAAAAAATGGTATTTATACAACCACCAGCAGTTTGTCCTCCCCAGTAGCTTTAAAGCTTAAAAATTTCACCCGAGTTTGACATCAAAGCCCAGCGCCAGAAATGGCACATTTTTGCAGATGTTGTAAAAACAGGCAGTGGAGGAGAGAAAAGAAAGACCTTTTTCATGTTTTCCCTGGAGGAGAGAAAAGAAAGACCTTCTTCAAGTTTTCTCTGGGAAGAAAGGCAGGGAGGGCTCAAAGCCACCAGGGGATCCAGCTCCAGAAGACACATGTGTTGGGAAAAGGCTCCCTGGGGACATCTCCCAGGGGAGGGAAGGCAGCACGGATGTTGTTACAGGGAGAACAGGAAGAAGGGCATGGTCTGAAGCTGTGCCAGGGGAGGTTTAGGTTGGATATTAGAAAGAATTTCTTTCCAGAGAGGGTAATCAGCCATTGGAATGGGCTGCCCAGGGAAGTGGTGGATTCTCCATCCCTGGAGGTTTTTAAGATGAGACTGGATGTGGCATCAGTGCCATGGGCTGGGAACCACGGCGGGGTTGGATCAAGGGTTGGACTTGATGATCTCGGAGGTCCCTTCCAACCCAGCTGATTCTGTGATTCTGAGATTCTAAGTCAAGCAAACCCTGGGTTTAGCCCCAGCTTTACCTCTGCTGGCACGTCCCATGCACATGTTGTCTGGTGTGACCACCTCCTGCTTGATGCTGAAGTAGTCTGTCTGCAGGGGGTCCGCGGGCAGCGGGTCCCGCAGGATGACCGAGGGATAGTCGCTCTCGTACTTGAGGGACAGCAGCTCCTCGGAGCTGATGGGGTGCAGGGTCTGGTAGGACTCTGTGATGAAGCTGGGCTCCGAGAACTCCGAGGGAGGCACACACTGGGCGTGTTCAATGCCATAACCTGGGGGCAGAACAGGAACGTCAGAAACAGTCCCGAAAGCTCAAAGAAACCCGGTCCCTCTCCAGCCTCCCCATCCCCAGGGAGACCTGCAGTGCCTGTGGATATAAAACACCTGGAACAGCTGGGAACTAGTTTTGGGAAAGGTTTCTAAAAGCTACAGAGGTGGTTTCTAAAAGACTTTTGGCTGAGGTTTCTAAAAGTTTATCCTGTCCTATAAATGCAGTAATTTAACAAAATCAGGCTTCCTCAGCCATCACCAACGTGCTTCCCTTGAGCAGAGCTGCCAGAGGCAAAGAGCTGGAAAATCAGGAAGAATGGAATCTCACAAAGGAGATATAGGGCAAAATGATGACTGTAATAGGTGAACCATTTCCATAGTCCCCTCTCCTCACTGGCCAGAGCCTGGAATCCTGATTCTCTGAGTCATGGAATCACGGAATCATGGAATCCCAGACCAGTTTGGGTGGGAACGGACATTAAAGACCACTCTTTTTCACCCCCTGCCACAGGCAGGGACACCTTCCACTAGCCCAAGTTGCTCCAAGCCCCATCCAACCTGGCCTTGGACACTTCCAGGGATGGGGCAGCCACAGCTTCTCTGGGCAACCTGTGCCAGGGCCTCCCCACCCTCCCAGGGCAGGATGTCTCCCTAACACCTCACCGAAATCTCCCCTCTCCAGGTCAGCTGGGGTTTTTAGCTGGTTCATGAAATACTCCCAGATTTCCAATCTTCTTCCAGAACATCTCCAAAGCAACAGCAATGGGAAGTGCAGGAGTGAGACTGAGGACTCATCCCTTTCCTTGCCAGGCTCCTTCCTAGCAATCCAGAATCAAGCCTTCTTCCCCCATTCCCTTCCTTTTTAAATATGTTTTTAACAATTCCCAGTACTCAGGAGTGATGAGGTCTCTTTCAAGGTCTGCTGAGCTACAGCTTCAAACAAACGTCACTTGCAAAATCAGACCCCAAAAATACAGATGGCTCCTAAATAAACCCTCAGCCCAACATGACTTTGCACAAGTCCTCATGTGATGCAGACAAATCTCTCCCAGGAGGCACTTCCATGCCTGGAAGCACTGGAGTGACACTGCTAATTGAGACTTACTAACGAAGTAGTCGGAGGTGTAGCGGGATTCGGGATACGTCGTGTTCGCTCCGTTTGCTGGGTATGGTTTCACCTCTTCTGCAAAGAGGAAAGGAAGGAAATGTCACACACTTGTGCTCTGCAAGACTTGTTGTAACACAGAGAGGTCTGAACTTCCTAAAATGCTCCTCTCTGGGTTAAACTGGGACGTTCAAAGGAACAGAAATTAATTAAGAGCTGAAATCCCATAGAAACTTGATGCACTTTGGGAATTCTTGCTGCAGGTATGGCCAGATTTAAAGCAAACCAACCCGACCCACAGAGCAACAACTTTCTCAATCAGAGGCTCCAGGTGGTTCTGAAACACCAGTTGCATCATTTCCTTGCTTGCCTTGGTCTTTGTTGTCTTCCATCCTCCCGAGGGTTGCTGATCACGCTTCCATGTGTGAGCTCCTGAAAAAACTCACCTTACAAGGGCAGTTGTTTCCCTGAAACCCCCTATTTTTAGACCAGCAGTAGGTGTGTGCAAGGGAGTGGGTAACACATACCAAACCCAGCTCCTCTAAGCCCTAATTAATGCTAATTCCCAGCCTATGCAGCACCTGATGCAGGGAGAACATTCCACATCCAAAAACGCTTTGTCCCACTGTCCATGACCCAACTCCTGGCCCAGACTTCACTGTGTATGTGTGGGCAGGATGCCAAATTTTAGCCTCTCTATAGGCATAATTCACTGGGAAAGAGCACAGAGCACATCAAAGCACAGATTCCCTGCTCCCTGTTGCTTTTTCCAAGCCCTTCGGTGCTCCCGGGCTTGGCGCTGGATTCGCTTTCCCACACAAAAGCTGCTCCTCCCCTGAGCAGTTTTTCCATGAACACCTTTCTCATTCCAACATGGCATTGTGGGCACAGATCCTGGCACGGGAGATTTTCTTTCCTTTGCAGAGGGCAACCAAAACAAACCCCCCCGGGCAGCTCTGGGCTGGGTTTGTCTCTGCCGAGGCTCAAGAGGAGCCGAGCGAAGACAACGCACGTTCGCTCGCGAGGAGCCTAATTTTGGTCCCTCTCCTGGGGATTGCAGGGTGGAAAATATTCCCTAACAAAAGGAGGGTTTGTGCAAACACAGAGAACTAATGAGAAAAGCTCTTCTGCTCTCCCCGTGGTGGCTGCCAAGGCACAGGGTGGGTGACCACAGAGCAGGAGAGCAACCTTGGGCTGCGCTCGCATTCACTGCTGGGAACCGAGGGGGTTATTTTAGGAAGAAATTTGGGAAAATACGCCTGAAAATACCCAAATCCAAGCAGGGAAAAGTGGCCCATCTGCTACCTTTTTATAACCCTGAGCAGTCTGTGGTAGGTGAGTCACTCAGAGCTCCCAGGGGAGGTCAGCCCAGGGGACAGCGAGGTCACAGCGTGTCCCAGTGCGACCCCAGGGACAGGGGCAGGTAAAGCCAAACATTTTGGGGTTAACCACCACCCCCAGCACCAACACCCCCAAGGGATGCTGGTGGGTGGATGGGGAGGATGGAGAGACAAGTTTGACCCTGATCTCTCCACACATCCCATCCCCAGGAGCAAAGTGCAGCCCCCCAACTCCTCCTGGCTGGGGAAAGACCTGTCAGGGACAACTTTGCACCTTCTGTTCATGCAGCACCAGCACAGCCCAGGCCTTGCCAGGGGTTGGAGATGAGCTGCCACTGACACGAGCCCTGTGGCCCACAGGGAACAGAAATCAGGCCTCAGAGTTATTTCTTAGAAGTCCTTGGTTACACCCCAAACACTTCACAGATATTGCCCTGCTGGGAAACGTGCTCAGAACCCACCAGAGGAGAGAGGGCTCAGCTTGTGCAAGAGGGACAAAGTCCCCAGGAAAGCCAAACACAGAAAGGAGATTTCTTGGTTCCCAGGGCTACACTAAAAGTGTGGAGACACTCAGAAATTCAGCTTTATCCTTTTCCTGCCTTTTGGAAGAAGAGTTACAACAGGAGCAAAGGTTTCCAGCTGCTTTGTGAAAGCTCCTGGCTATCCCAGACCTTTGGTATCCTCAAGACTGCAGTGTCTGAACAGCCTGGTGTTTGTCAGTGCTATATGAAAACATGATTCCCACTTTCCTGTGGAATTACAGCTCCAAGTTCATCTCCACGTGTGGAGAATCTACAGGAAGGAGCTGCACACCCAGCTCTGATGCCTCAGCCAGTACCTGCAGCACATCCCACCCCTCTCCGGTGAGTTATAGCCCCAAAAATCACAGAATTACAGAATCATCAAATGGTTTGGGTTGAAATGAGCTTAAAGATCATCTTGTTCCACCCTTCTGTCACCTCCAGGGACACCAGGAAGGTTGTGGGAAGGTACAAGGAATGGCTCATAGCAAGGAGAAATGGGCCTGACCACAAGGTTTTGCTCTGTTTGGTTAAAGTACCTGCTGTTGATATAAGCACTCAACAAAAAACAAGCAAAAGAAGAACAACACAGATAAAGAGTGAGAGAGCAGAAAAACAGCCTGTCCTCCCCAGAGCCTGTGTTTACCTTCTGAAAACCACAGGTAGCAATAAAATTAGTAATTGGCAATTAGCAGCCATTTGTCAATGGTTTCCTGGAAGGAATAACTGTGCTCCCCCTCCCCTTCCTGCCACCAGGGTCAGTAGGACAGCACAGGGGATGTTCCAGGAAAGCAAAGAGCTCTGCACAAAAAGGAGCTGGAAAAGGAGCCCGGGGGCTGCTGCTCCTGCTCATGGCCCAGGCCAAGGTGTTCAGCTCTTCTCCTGCTCTTTGGATACAATCCCAGCATTTCCTGGGCATCCAGACACTGAAAATCAACAGCCAAAATCAACCTGTGTGTCCCCAGCCGGTGACAACCGGATGCTGTCACACAGGGACTGGCAGAGATGGCTTCTCATCCCAAAATGTGAAACACCCTTTTTGGGACATGAAACACCTTTTTTGGGACACAAAAGAAAGCAAAGCAGCTTCCAATCACTGCTAGGAAACGAGGGTGGGATCTTGGCGGTGTTTTTGTGCCCAGTTCTCCTGGAGGAAGCACTAAAATTCACAACAGGAGTTGAACAAGCTGAGGAAAAACGCTCTGGAAAATCCCACCATGGATTCCAGGCAGGCAGAGTGTCCCTGCCCGTGGTGGGTTCCTGCCAAGCATCCGGCACAAACGCTCTGCCAGTTTCAAGTAGTACCAGGATTTGCTTTGCCCACTATCAGTGGGGATGCCCATTTGGAATCCTACTGTAAAGCTGGGCTTTGTAGGATGTTTTTCCTGGAATTAAAGGCCAAGGTGAACACTCAGTGCTCTTTGGAAAGCCCCAAAACCAGGCTGGCTGGGACAGTGGGAATCATTCCCCGCCGAGACTCACAGGCCTCACCTTTCTGCAGGATCTCCAGATGTTCCCAAAGGATGTCTCCCACAAAGTCAGGCGCCAGCTCCAGGAAGCACTCCTTGCCCAGGGCACAGAGGGCAGCTCCATTCATGCAGAACTTCTGGAAATCCACCTCCTTGAGGCTGAACTCGTTGACCGCCCACATCACCCAGTCCCGCACGTGCGTCTCCGTCCACTGCTGGGGATCTGCAGGAGGGATCCAAGAGTGAGCAACCACGAGCAGCTTTCCCGGGAAAACAGGGCACAAACAGTGCTCCAGCTGCACAGCCTCAGCCCATGGAGACTGGCAGCCCACTGGCACCAGGGTGGGGAGGGAACACCACACCCAGTTTGGCTCAGCCCCATTGAACACATATTTCAGACAATCAGCTTTGGATTTGTTTGGGACTTCCAATAATCTCATCAGTTCTCTGACTCCCTTCTCCCACCCTTTTTCTCTGATTTTTGGGTTCTCCCTGTCACCAGTTTGACTTGTTGTACTCCCTGCTGCTTCTCCCTATAGTGGAGATGACTTATCCACATTTTTCCAGCTGAAGCTGCTGAGAAACAAGGCAATCCCACCTGAAGAGAACCAACAAAGGGATGGCAGACTTGGAGAATTCATGGAGAATTCCAGGCAGTCTGGCTGGAGGACACAATCCCTGTGGATACCAGGGCTGCTGGGAAGAGCCTGTCTCACCTTTGGGAATTCCCAGCCGCTGCTGCTCCTTGGCGAAGCCGCTGAACGTGGCTTTCAATGCCTGGGACATCATTTCCTTGCTGCTGGGAGTTAATAAAGGCACATCGGCACATTCCATGTCTGCAAAAGAGCAGGAGAGAGAGATGGCCATGAGGACACAGGAGTGGGAAAGGGGCCAGGAGTCATGCTGGCCAGGTGACACAGTGCACATGGAATGTGCTGCTGGAATTGGACAGTGAGACCAAAGACCTTTCCAGACATCAACCTGCTGGGCTTCATCATCCCAGGAGTGTCGGGAGCCCGGGACAAAGCTGAGCAGCTCCAGATACCAAGAAAGGAAAAGAATCCCACACCAGGGTGAGCAAGGAAAGAGGGAAAAAAGTATCCCTAAATTCCCGCTCAATTGTCCCAGTCCAGAGACAAACAAGGGGAAAATTAAAGAGTCTTAGAAAATCCTTTATTCCAGAAAATTCTTCCCTGGGAGGGTGGCACAGGTTGCCCAGAGAAGCTGTGGCTGTCCCATCCCCAGAAGTGTCCAAGGCCAGGTTGGAGCAACCTGGGATGGTGGAAGGTGTCCCTGCCCATGGCAGGGGGAGGCACTGGATGGGCTTTAAGGTCCCTTCCAACCCAAACCAGTCCAGGATTCCATGATTCCATGAGAAAGGGAGCTGCCAGCAGGCTGAGAAAGGATGGGGAACCAGCAGAAAACTCATCTGAGGAGGAAGGGAAAACAAAGAGCTGGAAAATCCCTCATTAACCCGGAGTTACATCATGCCTAGCCCGTGGCACCGAATGACAGATCCAGGGGAGTCAGGAAGGACGTGCAGCCACCCTATGGGAGAGAGGGGCCAGGCCAAGCCAGGCCTGCAGTGAGCCCTGAGGAGAAGCAAACCTCATCCTGCTTTTTTTTTTTTTATACCTTTTTCTGATTTGTTTGGAAGGAGGTGGATATTTGTAGCCAAAGAGTTTCACAGACAAAAGCAACTGTTTGAGAAAAAAATTGGAATAAAGGTTTGGCTCTTTTTCCTACTTTATAAGTATTCCTGAAAAACATCTTTGATGGAGAAGGAAAGCCTCCCACAACCACCATCCCAAAAACTGAACTTTACCGGCCTCGTATGGAAATCTTCCACCTGAGCTTGGTTTAGCACTGTAGCCTAGTGGAAGTTTTTCCATGAAAACTCAGTGGAAAAACGACAACACGGGCAAACTCTTGGGTGTTTTCATGAATATCTGGACATGGACATGAAAAATCAAAGAATTCTCCGTTTTGTGGGAATGCCACCACGGATTTCCATGGCTCTAAGTTCGTTTCAGCTCTGATTTAATGAGCAAAATGCTGGTCAGTGCTTGTTTTAGACAGTGTTGAGTGAATCCCTGACAAAATATGGATTCAAGGCTGGACACAGTGCTGCAGTCCCCAGTGCAGCAGAGGTGCTTCCCAGTCTGACCCGGTCTGGGGGTCCTGCTCCACTCACATCCTCCACAGCCAAACTCCTGGGCATCACTTCAAGGCCAAACAACACAATGTGGGGGTTTTTTTCCAAGTGGGAATCTCAGGGTTGGACCAATAGGATTATTGGGCACTGGTGGAATCACCACTGGTGGAATCACCATCCCTGGACCTGTTCAAAAGACATGTGGATGTGGCGCTTGGGGACGTGGTTGCATGGTGGGATGGCAGTGCCGGGGGAATGGTTGGACTGGATGATCTGGGAGGGCTTTTCCAACACAAATGACTCTGTGATTCCATGGATAAGCTCTGTAGCACAGGGTGAGGGTGAGGGTGACCGTGACCAAATCATCCTCTGGATGCAATGAATGCAGTTCCACTGCCAAGCCAAACAGAGCAACTCCTCTGCCTCCATTTCTGCCCCTTCCACCTCTCAGCCCCCACTAAAATCAAGGCTAAAATCAGCCCTTCTCTTTAACCCCCTCCCACCTCAGTCTACAAGGGACTCAAGGAATGATTTGCAGACTCTCTGCTCAGGCAGGACCAGTAAAATTCCTGACCCCAAGTCTCTGGGGACCCAGTTCCTCCCCACATAAATCCAGGATTGCTGCCACAGTGGCAGCATCAGGACCTTCGAAAGAAAATCCCACATTCAAGGGCTATTTGGCAAATTACACTTCATTATTTACTGGATTTGGCTGGAGAGGGCACGGAAAAATGAGCAGCCACCCTTGTTATCTCTGTTCCCCATCTGCTGCCTCGAGATAACACTGGGAGAAAGTGGTTCAGTGCCCCTTTCCCTTCATCCTCATGTTACATTTTAATGCTTTGCTTTCTGTGGTTTCAGGGACCACCCAGGAATCCCTCCCCTCCTTGCCTGGTTAAACAGCAGCTCCTGCTCCCGCCTGCCATGGGAAGATGAGTCAGAGTCGGGCTGAGAAAACAGTTCTAACCCCAATTTTTACACTGAATCACTCGTGAAAACCTGTGTGGAGGTGACTTCCTTAGGCGAGACACCACGAGCAGGGCGAGGGAGGTGAAAAAACGTGGGTTTATCTCTGCAACAGCAAATATCTCTCCCTGATCCCCCCTGTTTTCTCCTGCAGGGTCCGTGGGGTTGGGTTTGTTCAGACCCAGAATCAATTTTTCAGTAGCGGGGGGATAAGGTTTCGGTTTAGGAAGGTGAACGCTGAGCTCTGCACAAACAACATGTCAAAACAGGGGAGACTTAAAAGTGATTCCCAGGGAGAGGTCATGGAGAAGCAAACAGTCTGTTTTCAAATAAAAAAACCCCCATGCCAGAGGAGGGTTTCTATTTAAACACCAAAAGCAGCCCAAATGTGCATTTCAAGGCTTCTCCTTGAAGATATGTTGTACTCGGCAGATTTAGGGTTGAAACATCATCTATTTTTTCCTGTTAAATCGTAGCTGCTTGTTCACATTTCTGCAGAGGACAGAGCAGCCCCAAAGCCCTGAGCCTGCAAACGCTCCCTGAAGCCTTGGTTTGGTCAGCAGGGTCCCACAGCTCTGTAAAACTCACATGGGTAAAACCAAACGTGGGTGAAAAGCTCTGCAGACGTGTTTGTGGGCAAGGCTTGGCTTTGTGACCTGAGAAACACATGGGGGATGGAGAGTTTTTAATCTAAATTCTGTCTCTGCTGGTTTGGAGATACTAAAGTTACTTAAATATCCTTTTCTTTGTTAAACCCTAAGTGTATGAGGAGCATGATGGGCTTCACCCAGCTCTGCATGGTGTAACTTGGGGTGTTCTGTGCAGGGCCAGGAGTTGGACTGGATGATCCCTGTGGGTCCCTTCCAAACAATTATAATTCCATGAGCTTTGCTGGGTGCTGGGTGCATGGGGAGTTCCTTCCCATGGAGGAGAATCCAGCCTTGGCGATGTCCTCCAGTTTGGGATTCCTAAAGCTCAGAGCCCAGCACAGCTTCGGGAACAAAAGCAACAAGCCAGGCTTAGCTCGCCTGGTTTCAGCTTTCCCCGCCATCTGAAACCTGTTTCCAAGAGTTTGATCAAATCTTGCCCAAATCAAACACGTCCCTTTGCGCCCCTCCTGCTGCCCACAGAGCACACACACCAGGGACAGAGCCAGCCCTGGGCAAACAGAGCACACAGAGCACACACAGAGCACACACAGCACACACACAGCACACACAGCACACACAGAGCACACATAGAGCACACACAGCACACACAGAGCACACACAGCACACACAGCACACATAGAGCACACACAGAGCACACACAGCACACACACAGCACACACAGCACACACAGAGCACACACACATGGGACAGAGCCAGCCC